CGTGTCGTGTCCTTTATATTCAATCGTTAGCGGTCCGCTTCTTCTACTCATTTACGAATGTATCCGTACCGTGGGGTGCCTCTTTGCGTTGGCATCGAGAAAGCCTGCCGTAGGCCACAGCGGCAAATCCCACGACACGAGCGCTAAGCCCACGTCCCCATCTGCACGTCTCTCCTGGCTGAGCCCAACGTTGCAGTCGCACTCCCTTTTGCGCCGGTTTTTGCACCGTTCGACGTCGATATTGGCGTCTTTTCTCCAGCCTCCTCAATATTTCAAATGGCTTTGGACAGTGGTGGGCTCACCTCCATCGAGACGCGTTCCTCGTATTTCGGACGGCTTTACAGCCCCCATGGCGGAGTTCAGTCGTGTCCAGCAGGCAGCGACATTATGGCCAGGGCAGTGGAACCGGGCGGCAAAAGGACGTCGCACCAACAATACGAAAGACGCAATACTCCGTAAGCACACGCCTATTGCTTTGGGGCATGTTGAAGCATACTCAAACGACAGGCCGGCAATGCGCCATCAGGGCAATATCCTTCCAGACTGATTGGCTGACGTTTGCTCACATCTGGCAGCACGGCCTCTGTTCCTGCGTTTCCCTCCTGTCGACGCATACGTCACAGACCGTGGGTGTTTTGCGTTTCTTACGTGTCTTTCTTTGTTGAATGGATCTTTCGTCGGACGCTGTCAATTGACGCTGCGGCATATTGTCTTTTCGCGTATGAATTGCCCCGTAAGTGCGGCATACTCCGTAGAGAGCATTAATGTCACCTTTGGATAGCCCTATGAGATCGGCGTCTTTTGCGTCCAACTGTCACCGCGTTCTCGGCTCTGCCTCTAAAAATAAAATAGACAGCTGAACTCGCTTGCCTCGCGATCGACCAGTGCCGGGTCCTGTCTTTTCAGTGTGGATGGCCACCCAGAAACTCACCGAAGCCCGTCAAATCCATCAATGCCGATCTTGGCCACATTCTTGCTAGGCGGCCACAGAGCTCAGCATACCGTGTATTATTACGTCGCTGGCGGCCACGGCCTGCACCGGATCGACATCATAGAATAACAGGACCCAATTCTGCTCTCTTCATAGCGCTTCTTCAGCAGACGCTAATTCGAGATCTCTTTTGCCATTTTCATCACCAGCCCAGAGCCAGCCAACAGTTAGTGATTATCTATCCCACGCGGCGCTAAAAAGTAATGCCCGCTTCCGCCCAACCACTGCGTAAAGTCGTACCCAGGAATCAGTGGTTTGCGTCACGACTGCCACGCTTGCCAAATTAGTGCCAGCTTCCCAACCTTGTACAAAAATACTAGGAGAAAAGGTCTCTAGTAATTACCATGCACGTGTGATTAGAGACGGGACGAGACAGACTCAGACAGACGGTTGGCATCATCGACGTCCAGAGGGCAATGTGCAATGGCCTTGAGAGATACGAAACGACGAAACGCACAGTAAGTTATGTAGCGGTTTGGCCTCGTATTGCGTGTTACAGTCGTTTGGCCCCTCGCTGAACCGAAGAAGAAGACGACGACACGAATGCCAAGCCAAACAAACGCACCCCGAATCAGACACCATCAGACACTCTGGCAACTCCAAACACTATGAAGATTTGTACTGCACTTCACCGAACAAATAACGAGCTATCCGATCCATCCGCTTGGCGTTTTGCCCCCTAACCCGGCGCGCCAGTTTCTTCCCCCCGGGAAAGCAAGGGAAGAGACGATTCCATCACAACACGGAAGTGCATACGGGAGTCGTGGGCAAGACTCGTACACGGACGGCACGGAGCTCCTGAATAAAACCAAGCTGGTTGCCACTTTCCCCCCGTCTGTGCCTCGTCCCTTCTTTTGGCTTTTGACGTACGCGTTAATTTCGTCTAGTCGTCACCGGTCTCGTCACCAGTTCACAAGTTACAAGCTGCCTTGTCCTCTGGCACTCGCCTATTTGGTCGCATTTCTCCGTCTCCTTCCGCGCTTTCCACGCTGCGCATTCCACTCGGTGCGTCGGCCCTTGTCAGCCCGTCCCTCTTTCCTCCGCCAATTTCCTTTGTTATCTCTGTGGCCTCCCTCTCTCTCCTACGGTTGCTTCCCGCCCGGGCTCTCCCCTTATTCATCTCCTCGACCTCATGACAACGCGAGGGCCACTTTGCGTTATTGACAAAGCCTGTGACGCCCCCAAGTGCGATTTGCACCCGGTTCTGACAAAGGAAACGGAACAATAGGGGCCGCAAAAAGCTTTACGACAGCTCCTTTGCGTTAAACAACGACGATCGGCCCTGGCCAGCTGCCGCTCTTGTATTTGGCGACGATCGTTTTGTGAGTATTGCGCAGCACAGTCGTTCACCCTTCACGAAATGCAAATTTCCAAGACTTTGTACGGAGCACAGTAAGAGCTAAAGAGGCGGTATCGCCGACGAATGCGCCGCCCGCATTGTCGGCTCTGTTTACGTATGAGCGCAGTGCATTTGTGTTTTCTGTGTTTTCTGTGTTTCCTGTGTTGCGCCTTCCCGGTTCAATCAAAGTCGGCACAGCTTCCTTCCCCGAAACCCGAGTTTGTTTGCCCAGCCTGCCCAGCCTTCCAAACCCTGCTTCAGACAGACGAGAACAAGACACACACAACCACGGCAGCTGCGAACGAGCATGTTTTTCTATTCCTTCCTTTTTTCGCATCAGCCTCAAACAAAACTAACAAAGAAGGAAAGCACGAACAGCCTCTCTTTCCTCACGCCCCTTTTGCATTGTGAAGACCTCTGCCTCCAAAGTAATCTATTCAGCCATTGCCGCCCACCTGGCCCATTTCTTCTTTCCCCCTCCCCCTTTTCCCCCGATGCCAACAAACACAAAAAGAATCTTTGCTCGAAACGACCAACAAACAACTCCCGCGACAAAATAAAGCAAGGAGGTCGTGCTCTTCCTCGCCCGTTGTTCCACCTGTCACTGCCTCACGTCCGGTTTTTCCACAAGACACAAAAAAAGGGTACAATTGTACCATGTACGTACCGCGTACTCCATAACAGGTACGTATCTCTACTTACGCGCGCGTCAGACACCCAGTCTTTTTGCTCGTCGACTACGTCAGCCATTCCGCTGTACCTTGCCGTTTTCCCTACCGTTCCTTTCTTGCTCTCGTTTTCGCTCCTGTACATCACCTTTTCATATCCTTTCCTTTCGTTCTTTATTCTCTTTTCAACCTGGCTTCGTTTTACCCTCGCATCTCCTCGACACCCTTTTTCCTGGCCTTCCGGTGTGTCCTGTCGCATTGTTGCTGCTTCCCCCTTCTATCGGCGTGCATTGGAGCATTGGAGCATTGGAGAGCTTGTCGTCACTAGAGGCGAGAAGAGGAAAGCCTCTTTCGTTAGCTTCTTCTCCCAGCCCGATTCAGAACAAAAACCCTTGCCACCTTTCCACACCTCAACCGCATTGCGTCGCTTTGCTGCAGGCGGTCTGGTAGCTTTGGCAGGTAGTTTATTCGGACACAATTTGCCCATATCGTCTTCCCGCCTCTTTTTTTTGTTTAATCTTGTTTGAGCCCTCTGTTTTGTATTTTCTTCCTCTTTTCTTCTTTTCGATTCCCTCTTCTCACGACGTTTCAGCTTTTTTCGAGAATCTCGCCGCTAGCCCCTCGTCTTAACGACCTCACCGAACCCCTGCCGCACGTCTCAGCTTTCGCCACGACCGATTGATCGATCCAGCAGTAGCGACGCAGAGCTAGATAAAACCAAAATCCTAGGGAAGCAAACAAGACGGCCTTGTTCCCTCCTCCTGCCCTATCGGTCTTCCCACGTCACACGTCTGACGGCCTGCGTGCCCAGCGGTCGCATAAATAAGACAATTCTCGACCAGCCACACTACTTTGACTGGACCAAGAACCACGACACACCCACGCCGGGTCATTGCGAAAGACCCTTCCAGGTCCTAAAGGCCAAGATGGGCCGGAATCGCGGTACGTGTTTTCACTATGCTATGCATTTCTCGTGTCCTGCTATTTGCGTTATGGTGGTTATTGCTATGGTTTTCGGCGCAGCATATTACTCTGTCGCCTTTATGCTGCCCATTCCGCCACCTGTTTTGCCTCTTCCTAGCCCTCCGTACAGTTTCAATCCTTCCCACAGCCCTCCTCTCTCTTCCACGTCCTCATTCCATATTTCCAGCTTTTGGCAAAGTTGTCAACTTGGGGTTTTTGTCGTCCGCCGCCGTGGCGCTGTCACATTGTCCTGCCTTGGCTTTCATTGGCCCCTCTTCCAGTCTAACTGCCCTTGTCCCGCCAAAATGCCCTCCAAGTGTGCCCAGGCACATGCAGAGGCACCCAGAGACTCCCAAAATTGTCCAAATCGGGTTGGAGCCGTCTAGATCGCCGAGCTAGATGTCCCATGGTCGATCCACTGGTTGCATCATCGCCTCTCCACGGAAAGACCAATTTGATGCGCTGTGCGTATGTGGCCATAACGTTAGACTGCTGCACGAAGAGACGAATGAACAAAAGCCCAAGCCCAAAAGGAGAAAGAGAAAATGAGAAAAAGAGAGAAAGAAATGCCTAAAATCATACGCGTCGCCTATGTTCGGCCATTCTCCAACCATTTTACCTGCTCGAACAAGCCACTTTTCAAACCGGTTCAGCCAACCATTGCCTTGCAGGCCGTCATTGTGTTGCTCGCTCTATTTCTGGCTTTTGCGGGGTGACCTTTGGTTCGTTCTCGAATGCATCACTTGTTCCTTTATGGCCTTAAGGGACTTCCGTGGCTTTTCTCATTTCTCGGCTCACTTGGACACCCTCCAGTACTCTCTTCCCGCTTGCTTGGTGCCTCGTAGCCCCAAATTCGTCACTCTTTGTCTGAGACCCTTTTTACAACCGCATTTCCTTCCTTCGCATCCCTTATTTCTGTCAACCTTTCTGTTTCGCTTTCTTTCGTTTCGCCCCGTTTCCTCTTTTTCAACGTCTCATCACAACTCTTTCCCATTTTCCCTCGTCCCCATATTAACTCTCTCGACCAGTTCTCTCGTTTATGTCCCAGCTGTCTGGAGGCGGCAACAGAGACTCTCGGACACCATCGCCTCCCACAACAAACAACGTCGACACCTTTACGAACATTAGCAACGCCTTCAACACGCGAAAGCCCGAGCAGACACAGACACCACCTCAGAACCAATCCGCCGCACCAACAGAGCCGTTCCCCGACGTCACATTACCCACGTCTCCGACCCGCGGCGGAGAGGATGGCCTTGGCGCACTAGGCAACGACTCACAATTTACGCCAGGCCCCGGCCGTCAACGGAGCTCATCGCGACCCTTGTCTATGATTCAGACCTATCAGCCGCACGTCATGGATACCAACGACACAATCCCCGAGCTGCAGCCCGTCTTCACGCTCCTCAATAGCCATGCCAACAAGCTATACCAGGAGGGCTATTTTCTCAAGTTGGACGACCAGAACTCTCGTACGACAACCTCTCCTAAGAAAAAGAAAAAGAAAAAGAACAGAAAAACGTATAAACACTGTGTTTCGAGTACCAACTAACACCTGCTTCTTTAGAGGGCCGCCCGAACCCGGATAGAAACTGGACCGAATGCTTCGCTCAACTCGTCGGCACCGTGCTGTCTCTATGGGACGCCGCCGAACTTGACACGGCAGGCGAAGACGGCGAGGTGTTACCCAAATTCATTAATTTGACAGACGCCGCAATCAAAGTGGTGCGTCATACACCCATCAGCCGCTACTCGGCTACGACGGTGACGCAGGTGACGCGAGTTGTAACGTTAAACTAACCGTTTTGTCCAGATCGACTCCCTCCCGACACGATCGCCAAACGAGCAGCCCCTGCAACATGTTCTCAGCGTCTCTACAGCCGGCCGCAACCGCTACCTCTTCCACTTCAACTCCCACCACTCCATGATCCAATGGACCTCGGGCATCCGCCTCGCCATGTTCGAACACTCGACTCTGCAGGAGGCCTACACCGGTGCCCTTATCGCTGGCAAGGGCAAGTTGCTCAACAACATCAACCTGATCATGAGCCGTTCCAAAGTCACCACTGAAGAGTGGGTACGTGTGCGCTTCGGAGCCGGTGTCCCATGGCGCCGGTGCTGGTGCGTCATCTCGCCCCCGGACGAGAAGGAGGTCCTGAAGCTGCAAAAGGAAATGAAAAAACGCTCCGTCTACGATCGCTCGCACGCGCCGCAACTCAAGGGCGACATCAAGTTCTACGACAAACGCGTCGAGGGCAAGAAGCAGAAGAAGGCCAAGCCCATTGCCACCGTCTCTAACGCCTACTCTGCCTATGCAATCTACCCGCAATCCAAGGCCCTCATCGACGCCTCCTCCCTCATTAAGCTTGAAGGCACCATCACCATTCACTCGGATCCGGTCTCAACGACGGAAGGCTTTGTGTTCATGATGCCCGAGGTGCGGCCCATGGTTAGTGGCTTCGAAATGCTGCTGCGCGCTCTCTTCCCCATCTGGGATACCTTTTGCTTGTACGGTCGCCCACAGCGCCTCGTGGCCAGTACTCTGGACTCTCGATCCCTCATGTTTGCCATGCCTAAGCACCGCCGCTACGGCTACTTGGAGATTATGGACGTTTCTACCCTCGTTTTGACCGACGGCAGTGGTGCCTGGACCGAGCGGGAGTGGCGCAAACGCCTCAAGGACCTGACCGCTAGGCGCCTGGCTGCCATGGACGAGAGCGCCAGTAGTGGCTTTGAGAGCGAGCGCACATCGAACCGTAGCAGCAAGCGCCTCAGCTTCGGACCTGGTGCCGCTGCCATTCCCATGAGCAACAGCGCCGGTGTGCTGGACGAGCGCGGCGCCCCGGCCCCGCGCGCCCGAGTTAACTTTGCCGACGAAGGCGACTCTCTACGGCCGGGCCGGACGGCCGCGTTTGCACAGAGCTCGAGCAACCGCACCGATTCCGCACCTCCCGCTTCAGAGCGCCAGCGAATCCCCTCGTCCATGGCGCAGGCAGCGACTATTGCCCATGCGCGCAACAACTCGGACATGGGCGGGGGTGCACCGGACAACAGCCAACGCCCGTATAGCGGTCAGCCGGCAGCGTTCTATGACCCGACCATCACCAGCGGCGGGCCCGGTGGTGCTGGCGGTGCTGGCGGTGCTGGCGGCTACTACCCGTCCGGCGCCTCACCCACACCACACGCCCGTGGCTACGTCAATGAACTGGCCACGACCCCGGAGCGTGTTAGCTCCGAGGACGATGTCTCCTCGTCTCGTAACGTGACGCCTCCGCGCGACCTCGGCGACATGCAGCGGAACCTCCAGACCCCCGAGCCTGTGTTCACACCGCCGGCCGCGCAACACCTGCCCTCGTCTCGTCCGGCAGCTACGCCCTTCCACTCGGCCGAGCTGCGCAGAGCCAACAGTCGTCTGTCTAGCTCCACCCTAGCGCACATCGTCAAGGCGAGTGCCGTATCCAACGAGTCCTGGCCCATGCCCGACAACCAAGAGCACAGGCCCGTCAGCCAGGGCAGCGGTACGAGCCGGGCCGTCGGTGGCCAGTCTGGCACCAAGCTGCCGACCTCCGTATCCGGCCCGTCATTAGGCCAGCCCAGCCCCAACTATTCACAAGGCCAATGGGGTCAAGGCCTGGTTCCTTCCAGCAATGCACCACACCCGACCTCCTATTCGAAGTCCCCTCTCAACCAAGCACAGAACATCCTTGCTCCAGCATTTGATGGCACAAATGAACCCCTTTCCCAACCCGCAGGTTCGGGTTCCAAGCCGATTGGTGGTCCTCAGCCTCAAGTGCCCCCGCACGCTGACCACTTGCCAACTCACATGCACGGCGCCGAATCTGGCCGCCAGGTGCTTCTAGCTCAAGGTCCTAACCCTCCCATCCCCTCTCCAAACTCCCTTCCCTCCCAACCCCAAGTATCCCAAGCATCTCAAGAGGCTACTGCCTCTTCCTCCGGGCCACAACCCGAGCGGCTGCGGACGCCTCCGCCGAATGCCGGTCGAGCTTCCATTCCTGGGGCTCCTGCGTTATCGCCGATTAAAACGTCCCCCTCTATCATAAGGAAACCCGTTCCTTCGAAAGCTGACACCGTGCAGAGGTATAAGGCGTCGGCAGCTTCCGAGCCGCAGTCGGCCATTTCAAGCGCAGGAAGCCTGCAGGATTACTATATCGATGAAGCAGCTCTTGCCAAGGTCCAGCTCGCCGACAACATCTCCACCAACGCCAACGAGTCGCCCACTCGGCAGGAGGTCGTCCGCCAAGATACCAAGCGCAGTGAAGCCAGCAGCCGCTACGACGACGCGTCGTCGACGACCACGCCTGACTATGCCAGTACCCACGAGTCTGTGCGGACACGGGAATCCGTGGATCGCCCCCGTGCCGGCGTCCTGCGCACAGTCGGCGAGGCCGCTCCACCACCACCGCCCCCCCACGAAGCCCTCGATATCCCCGAAGTCAACTTTGGTCCCACCTACAATTATGCCTCTGCCAACATCCCGCGCAACAAGACACCGACTCCGCTGGGTGCCGGTAACTCGACGAACCAGCCGTCGAATTCATTTTCACACTCTCCCGGAACGAATGCAGCTATGTCCGGTCCAGCCAAACTCCGCAAGAGCCCGGGGCAGGCCCAGGGCCACAAGTCGCGTCCCTCCGAAACCAGCCATTATCGCCAGGAATCGGATGACACTCTCCGCCGCCGCAGTGTTGCCTGGCAGCCCGGCAGCACCATGGTTGGCACGACTGCTAATGCCAATGGTGATGGACGTGCTAGTTCTATGACCCCGGAGCAGTTTGTGCTTCAGCGCGCCCAGGCCGCCCAAAGCTCGACCCCCCCTTATCCGCTACACCAGAGAAACCCGTCAAACAACTCGCTACTCAACTTGCGGAAGAATACGCCGCCACCGGCCATGCGACGGACCTCCAGCTTCGACATGCTTACCAGCGCCGTACCGAACCCCCCGTACCAGCAGCAGCAGCGACCCAGCTCACAAGGCGCCATGACGGCTCTTGGCAGCCATGCACGCGACAGCTCCATGGATGTCGGAGCCCACTTGTCGGCCCGTGAACAAGAACATCTGGCCCGCATGACAGGCGCACCTCTGATCAATGTCGTAGGCAACTCCCGCAACAGCCAGCAGCCTGCTGGTGGTCCTGGACTTGTCGGCGCCATTGCCGCTCGCGAGCGCGAAAAGCAGCAGATGAAGGAGGGTGTCAGCTCCCAGGCCGTGCAATACGCAATCAACCAACGCCAGCAGCTGCAGTTCCAGCAGCAGCAGGTGGCGCACCAACAGTACTACCTCCAGCAGCAGCTCCAGCAGCAGCAGCAGCAGCAACAGCAGCAACAACAACAGCAGCAGTACGCCCAAATGTACGGCACGCCTAGCCCTCAAGGCGCTACCAGTGGATACGGCGGCTACCAGCTTCCGCCGGGTCACGGCCCGCCGCAACGCCGGTTGTCACCGCAGCAAATGGCCACCGCCCAAACCAACACCTATGTGCCCCAGCAAGGGTATTCCCAAGGCAGCATACCGGGCGGCTGGCCAATGACCTCGCCGCAGATCCAGCAGCATCCTCGGCAGCAACAGGGCTACTTTTCGCAAAGCCAACACGCGCAGGGCCAGAACGCGCAGAGCCCGGCCGGGTTTGTCGGTACGCCGCGGTCCAGAACACCCGGTCCGTAACAAGCCGGGCAAGAAACTTTTTAGAGGGAACTGTCTCGCAACGACCCTCCACTTGCCATTTACTCTCATCTTTTTTATTTATCTTTGGCGTCTAGTTCCTCTACACATGTACTCTGCATTTGGTTTTCTTTTGTCATCCATGGTTTAGCCAACTTTAGGTATTCAGGGCACAGCTTGTTTTTTATGTCCTGTGGGTTTTGTCCATTGCCGCTCGTCACAGGGATGGACGACTGATTCTTTTCATGCAAAAAACTGACCTGCATATTCTTATGATTATTTCCAGGCGACTTTGTTCGTTTATCTTACTTTCCTTGTTTTCCTTTTTTTTTTTTTTCAGTCTGTCGCATGATAGAATTGCATACATAGAGTGAGTTACTACGGTGGCAATGCTATGCTTTTTATCATACCCTCCAAAAAGTATTTATTTATATGATTATGCACAATGCAAGTGATGGAGTTTTTTGATCCTGTAACCTTTTGCCAGGTGATTTCGATTTCGTTTTTGTCAAAAAAGAAAAAAAACTGAGAGCAGATTTTTTTTAAAAATGAATACAAAACTACCCGTGTAATGTTTTTTAATAATACTAAAATACGATATTAATCCAAACATGTGCACTGCAAACGTAAAAGAACCCTTTTACTACATAGAACAACTAAATAGGAAGATAAACATGTTCAAATGTCGCCAAACGCTCTCGACTGGAAAATGCTCGGCTTATGAATGCAACAGCCAAAGAAACCAACACGAAACCAACAAAAACACAATAAATGCAACCAAAAAAAGACCTTTGCTATCCACCCCTGGCCGAAATCCTACTTTCCCATCCTTCTTTGAGACGCTGACCATGTGCCGACCAATTTTTGTATTCTTTGCAAAGAAGAACAAACAAGAAAACAACACACCAACAAACCGTATCTTCAGATAACTTCAAAACGTGAGGTCAAACGACTGTAACTGACTACTGCCTGACCAGTCGTCCTCTGGGCGTCTGGGACGCGGTGGCCGACGGTGTGGGCGTAACGCTGCTGCTGCCACTGATGTACTTGCTGCTACTGGACCGGTCACCATCGCTGCCGTTGGTGGTGTTGTTCGTCACGTTACTCGATGTCGACACGAGCACCGTCGGTGCGCTGACGGGCGATGCGGCGAGGCGGGGCCGTTGCACGCGGATTTGCAAGCCACTTCCACCGCCGCCGCTACCACCAATGCTTCCCCAAGCAGCCAGAATTTCGGCACGCCGCTGCTCAAACTCGACCGACCGGAGGCGCTCCTGGTCGATACGCGCCACACGTTCAGCCATATCACGATCGGCTTCCACAAGACGGCGTCGGTGCTGCTCGCGGTGGGCCACATACTGCTCGGCGCGCGAGCAGGCTTTATCGAGGCGCTGGCTGGTGGGCTCGTCCACAAGACTGACGGCCGCTAGGGACGCGGGTACAAGAGACGCACGCGGTTTGGCAGAGCCGCCCCAGTTGCAGCGGAAGAGCAGCTCTGTGCGCAGTGGTTTGGCGGCAGAGGCAGTGTTCGGATCGACCATGTTGTACCAGACGATGACAAAGTCGCCATCGTATAGACGGGTCCAGTTTCGCGATGCGCTTCGCATGTTGCGTGGGTCAGACGAGTTGATGAGGGTGCCATTGACCATGATGCCCTGGCGGGCCTTGGTGGAGATGTAAAAGTGGTATCGACTGGCAATCTCGCCGGTCGCGTCCAGCGCCACCTCGCCCGCATCGTCCCGCCGTTCCCATGGCCGCAAGTCCGTCCACGGTTCGGACCCGGCACCGCCGTTGGCGTCACTCCGCCAGAGTAGTATCTTAAAGGCATACTTGGGCACCTTCAATTCATTCACTGGCAGAAACACCTGTGTGTTGTCTGGATGGCGGCCCCAGGTGGTGATCGATTCCGTGATGGGTACGGAGATGTTGGAGACGAAAGATGCGGCCGTGGATGTGAGTCGTGCTACGGGCGGGATTTGCTTGGTCACAACAGGCACAATAATTTGAGCTTGTGGCGTCGGTTGCAGATGCAGTTGCAGATGCGGTTGCAGGTAGAGTTGAGGTGATGCGGAGGGCTCGTGGGGCGGCGTAATGACTTGCTGGAGGGCGGCAGCCGTGGCTGGGCTGCTCGATGGCATAATGTTCTCCTTTTGGTCGATGGTGGCGTCATCGTCGATATCGATGCCACTGGAAACGGCCGTGTCAGAGATGTGCGACGTGGAACGGGAGCGCGACCGCGGCTCCGACCCGGACTCGGATCGACGGCCGGCAGCCGAAGAGACCGAAGGTGGGAAGTGCTTCATGGCCAAGTTCCAAAGTGGGCCCGGGCCGGGCCGAAACTCCTCACCACGCGCCTCGGCGGCATCTTCAAAGGCATTGAACTGCAACTGGGTCATTTCGGGGTACTGCAAGTGCCAGCTGGACTTGTCGTTGTGAGCCCAGTAGACAGACTTGGACACGGGCATGTCGATTTGGCGGCCGCCCTTGGGATAGCTGATCGGCTTCACAGCGGCATAGACGGCAGCGTCTTCGGCTGTGATGACATCGTTGTCGTCATCGTCCGATTGGACAGAGGCTTGCTCGCTGGTGGCGCCCGTGTTTGTGCCCGTGGCGACTAGGTTCAGGTCCGACGCAAATGCGGATTCCATATGGATGTCCGACTTGAGCCGCTTGATGGTGGGCTTGTCCTGTTTGTCCTGTTTGTCCTGTTTGTCCGTGGGGCGCGCGGCGCTGCTCTCAAATTCATCGCTGGTGTCGGGTGCCGGCTTACGCTTGCTGCTCGTAAAATCGGTGTTGGAGTGCTTGAAGTTGGATGCGGCGAGTGACTTCATGTTCAAGTTGCCGAGGATGGACTCGGCACCGCCCAGACTTTGCGAGGCCACGTCAAAGGTCAAGTTGTTCAGCTCGTCCACAGAGTGGCTCGTCTGGAAATGGTTCGACTGAGAGAGGGCTGCGGGGACATGGGCACTTCCATTCGAAGCACCGCCGGTACCACCGCCTGTACCACCACCTGCGCCACCACCTGCGCCACCACCACCCGAACCGCCATGGGTCGCTGATCTCGGCTGGGACCATTGATCTCCGGGTTGAAGTGGCGGCACCTGCTGTCGCTGGCGGGCCCGCTGTGTTAAGAAAGTATTATCCAGGTCGGAGCTGTTCGCCGAATCGGGGGAGTAGCCCCGTGGCTGCTGGATCGAGCCTCCCAGGTCCGACAGTGGCAGGTTCAGGCGGTCTTCGGGGATGACGCCAGAACTGCCAATGGCGCTAACGTTGACTTCGCCAAAAAGGCGCTGCTGTTGCTGCTGCTGCTGCTGCTGCTGTGTGCCCAGGTTCAGCAGGCCACGGATAGTAGTCGCATCGCCTACCTGACGACCGTCATCTTGTGAGCCGATTACACCATCCATGCCGTCGAGAATGTCATGGACCTGGCTTTCGCCCCCGACATAGTCGTCATCGTCGAGGATCTCGTCGTCGCTCAGTTCGCCCACCGCGTCCAGACGCGTGTCGGGCAACGGATCAGCGCCGTGACCATCGTTGAGACTGAGCTGCGATGCGCTCTGTTCAAGCGCCTCGGCCGACGCGTCGTCGATCCCGGTCAACCATGGGTGCCGTTGTAGAGCTTCAATGGTGGCGCGGTTTTCGGGCCGGTTCCGAAGCATAATGGAGAGGAAATGGATACAGGCCGGCGAGGCGTTGACGGCATGAAGAGGTTCTACGTCAATGGGTCGGGTCATGATCCATGCCAGCAGTTCTATGTAGGTTGTGCCCTGCTTGACTGGGAATGGTGGGCGGCCCGTGAGGCAGTAGAAGAGCACACCGCCAAGAGACCAAATGTCGACGGCGTGGTCGTACCGTTGACCCGGCGCCCGGGTCTTCTTACGCGGACGGTTGGTCCGGATGCCGTTCTCGTCGAACTCGGTAAACTCGCCGTAGACCTCGGGCGCACAGTAGAGGAGCGTGCCACAAAAGGTCTGCAAAAAGGTCTGCTCGTTGTCGACCATTTTGGACAGTCCAAAATCGGTGAGCTTGACGTTGAATGGCGCAAGCGAGTCAATCAGAATATTATCGGGCTTCACATCGCGGTGGGTGATGTTTTTGCGGTGCAGGTAGTCCAAGGCGTCAATGAGCTGTGTGGCCATTTCTCGGACGGCGGCCTCTGGGAGAGCGCCGCGGTTCGTGATAAGACTGCCGAGATCGCCCATGGGCACGTACTCCATGATGATGATAAAGAGCCGGTCGTCAAAATCAAAATGCTCGATATAACGAACAACATTAGGCTATGCAGTTAGGTCGTGCAACAAAACAAGGAATACAGCGAATACGAATACAAAGAAAAGAACAAAACATGCAACGTGGGAGCAAAGGAGGACAGAAGAGGACAAAGGAAGGGGCACATACATGTTGGATCTTTTGCATAATCTTCATCTCATTTTCCACCTTCTGGTCGAGGACACCATTCTTGACGAAGCGGCGCTTGTCGAGCTCCTTGGCGGCGTACGGCTTGCCGTCGAACTTGGAGGTCACCTTGTGGACGGTGGCGAAGGCGCCCTTGCCGATCTGGCCGACACGGTTGTAGCTGCTGGAGCCGTTCCATTCACGCGGCAAGCTCTCGGTGGACGCGGGCTCGAAGCGTGGTGGGGGCCGGCGGGCGGGTCCTGTCTGGGGAGGAGCTGGAAATAGGTTAACAATGCCGGCCGGTCCAGCGCCAATGATTTGGTGTCGTTGCGGCTGTGGTGGTGGATGCGTCGTACCAATGCTTTCGTCGCCGTCCGCGAGCATGGCGAGGCGCTCAAGGTAGGCGTGCAGGTTCCGCTGGTAGGCACTCTCGTACTGGCCCTCACGGCGGGGCACGCGGACAAGGAACTCGAGGTCGTGGGCGTCGTTCTGGAGCAGGATGGAGACCTTGGTACCGCTGTTAAGGGTGCGTTTGTTAGACATGCCGGGGCGGCGGTTCTTGAGCAGCACGTCGTCGACGGCGGTGCCGTTGGTGGACTGGTCTTGCA